ACAAAACTTAGCAGGGCATGGTGGCACATGCCTGTAATCCCAGCTACTTGGGAGGCTGAGGCACAAGAATTGCTTAAGCCTTGGAAGCAGAGATTGCAAGAGCCAAGATTGCACCACTGTACTCCAGCCTGGGTGACAGAGTAAAAATCTGTCTCAAAGAATAAAATAATGGAATAAATAAATGATTTGATGTGAACTTTTTGAAAAGACATTTTGACAACTGATAGTTTGTGGATGAATTAGTGATATTTAGGAAATAAAGCAAATGAAAGAAAGAAAGTAACATTTAGTTCCAAAGAAGTCCAGAAAATTAGTTACTTGAACCCAGGAGGCAGAGAGGCTGCAGTGAGCCGAGATTGTGCCACTGCACTCCAGCTTGGGCAACAAGAGCGAGACTCCCTCTCAAAAAAAAAAAAAAAAGAAGAATCTTCTGGGGATCTCGTTAAACACATCTGAATTCTGGTCCTTCAACCATACTTTTAGTAACAAGTCCTACACGGCTGAGCTATAAACAGAATGTATAATGATGTAAACTCTGAATAGTGGTTAAATTATTAAATATATTGACAGGCTGGGAAGATGGGAAATATGCAAGTGTATGGTGGAGAAGGAAAGAAAACTAAATCCTCCTCTTTTCCAGAGAAGTTAATGCCTCAAACAGAAACACACTATTAAAGCTAGCTGGCTTTAAAAATCATATATAATTTTGATAACAACAGAGTCCTCTAAGAAGTGGGCAGAGGATGTGAACACAGTTCATAAATACAAAAAGCACTTCAACAGCTCCATACTCTACTGTCTCATTAAGAATCCTTTGTTAAGGTAGGTGTGGTGGCATACCCCTCTAGTCCTAGCCACTTGGGAGGCTTGCTTGAGCCCAGGAGTATGAGTACAGCCTGGGTGAGATCTCATCTCTAAAAACATTTTTTTTTGAGATGTTGTTTCACTCTGTCACCCAGGCTGGAGTACAATGGATCACTGCTACCTCCATTACCTGGGGTTCAAGTGATTCTCCTGCCTCAGCCTTCCGAGTAGCTGGGATTACAGGCAACCACTACCATGCCTGGCTAATTCTGTAGTTTTAGTACAGGCAGGGTTTCACCGTGTTGGCCAGGTTGGTCTTGAACTCCTGACCTCAAGTGATCTGCCCACCTCAGCCTCCCAAAGTGCTGGGATTACAGGTGTGAGCTACCACACCTGGCCTCTAAAAATTTTTTTAATTACAAATTTTTATACTCAGGAGGCTGAGATGGGAGGATGTTGAAGCTGCAGTGAGCTGTGATCATGCCACTGCACTTTAGTCTGTGAAAAAGAGAGCCCTGTCTCAAAAAAAAATTGTTTGGTTGTTTTAAAAAGATTACAGTTATCACTTAGCAATTGGCAAAAAAGAAGAGTTCACTGATTGCACCAATTGCAATAATGTAAAGAAACAGCAATATATTGTTACAGCAAAAGTTCTGAAATCTTAACTGTTTTATGTTGTAACAGAATACCACAGACTGGGTAACTTAAAAATGAATAGAAATTGGCCAGGCACAATGGCTCATGCCTGTAATCCCAGCACTCTGGGAGGCTGAGGCAGGTGGAACACGAGGTCAGGAGTTCAAGACCAGTCAAGAAGGTGAAACCCCACCTCTACTAACAACTACAAAAATTAGCCGGGCACAGTGGCAGGCACCTGTAATTCCAGCTACTTGGAAGGCCGAGGCAGGATAACTGCTTGAAGCTGTGTGGCGGAGGTTGCTGCGAGCCGAGATGGTGCCACTGCACTCCAGGCAACAGAGTGAGACTGTCTCAAAAAAAAAAAAAAAAAAAAAAAAAAAAAGAAATGTATTCGGCTCATGATTAGCAGCTGGGAAATCTAAGAGCATGACATCAGTATATGGCAAGGGTCTTTGTTGTTTTGTGATCCCATGGTGGAAAGTGAGAGGGCAAAGAGGGTATGCTCAGGAGAGCAAAAGAAAGATTTGGCTAAACTCCATTTTACAACAAACCCACTCCTGAGGTAGTAACATTAATCCATTCTTGAGGGTGGAACCCCCACAGCCCAATCACCTCCCAAAGTTCCACCTCTCAGTAATATCACAATGGCAATTAAATTTCAACAGACATTTTGGAGGGACATTCAAAACAGCACTGACAATCCTTATTGTCCCATAACTAAATCACTTCCAGATTTCAACCATCTTTCTGTTGGCAATTCTTTTAAGTTGGCTACCACAATATGCTTTATGCTTTTTTTTTTTTTGAGACAGCTCTCTTTGAAGTGAGTGCAGTAGCACGATCATAGCTCACTGCAGCCTTACCTCCAGGACTCAAGAATCTTCCCACCCTGGTCTCCCAAGTAGCTGGGACTATGGGCATGTGGCACCATGCCCAGCTAATTTTTTTTTTGTAGAGACAGGGTCTCACTATGCTGCCCATGTTGGCCTTGAGTTCCTGGACTCCAGTGATCCTCCTCCCTCAGCCTCCCCATGTGCCGGGATTACAGGTGTGAGTCACTGCACCTGGCCCAGTATGCATTCTCAACTACTGTCTTCCTTAGCTGCCTTGGCTGTCAGGACTGAAAAAGCTATATAGTCACCTCTCATCTGTGGTTTCAGTTACCTTGGTCCAAAAATAGGTGACTACAACACAATATTTTGAGTGAGGCTGACCACTACCACGTACTTTTTATTAAAGTAATTGTTATAATTTTTCTATTTTACTGTTAATCTGTTACTGTGTCCAATCTATAAACTTTATCATAGGTAAGTATTAGCCCATTCTCACACTGCTATGAAGAAATATCCAAAACTGGGCAATTTAAAGAAAACAGGTCTAATTAACTCACAGTTCCTCATTGCTGGGGAGGCCTCAGGAAACTTACAATCATGGTGGAAGGCAAAGGAGAAGCAGGCACCTTCTTCACAGCGTGGCAAGACGGGGCGAATGCAAGCAGGGGAAATGCCAGATGCTTATAAAACCATCAGATCTCATGAGATTCACTCACTATCACAAGAACAGCATGGTGGAAACCGCCCCATGATACAATTATCTCTACCTAGTCCCATTCTTTACATATAGGAATTTGGGGATTATAATTCAAGATGAGACTCTGGGTGGGGTCACAGCCAAACCATATCAGGTATACATGCATAAGCAAAAACAGTATATATATATAGAGTTCAGTACTATCTGCTGTTTCAGGGATCCACTTACTGTGTTCACTTTCTCAGCCTCTGCAGCTAGAGATGGACATATGTCATAGTTCTCAACAATGAAACTAAGTGAAATCCTGCTGGGAGGAATTCTGATAAATCTCTTGCTTTCCTTTTAAAATCTCTTGCTTTACCTTTCCTGGAGGAATTTTGAGAAATCTCATGCCTATGGTCTCAGCTACTTGGGAGGCTGAGGTGGGAGGCATGCTTGCCAGAAGTGGCTGGCACAGCTATCTTTTCTTTCTGCCTTGAACTCATGTAAATGTCAGCCCTTTTACAAGCATGAACAACAATCATAAAGGTGTTAGAAATATGCCATGGAGAGTGGAGTGGAAAAATACAAAAAAAGCATCACTGAGAGCTAAGCCAACAACTACAGCATCCTCACTTGGCTTTAACATATATGACAAAAACCTCCTGCTTAACTCCCTCAACGTTTTGTTACACAGCCAAACACACCCATTTTCTCAAAGAAGGCTGCTCTGAATTATGTTTTACACATAATTTCCCCAGTATTTATTTGTAAGTCAAACATATAAACTCTCACACTATAATGTTCACCCTAAAACAGAAATTGTTAAGAGTTATAAAAAAAAAAAAAATAAGTAAACTGGCCAGCTGGTTCACGCCTAATAATCTCAGCACTTTGAGAGGTCAAGGCAGGAGGATCACTTGAGCTTGGGAGTTCGAGACCCTGTCTCAATTTAAATAAATTAAATAAATACAAATCAATCTCCACAATTCTGGGTTTGCTTATTTTACAATCAATAGGATTAACTGTGAGCAATAAAAATGTAAAGAAAATGTAATTTACTGAAAATATGAGGTAGCTTGCAGAACTTAAGGGAAAGCTAAACCAGGCCTCAGGAAGAACAGGAATCAGGAGAGCTCAAAATCACCACTTTCAGAAACTGCTCTGAAATAAATTCAGGAGCACCAATCGAATTTAGTTTCTTGAAGCAAAGTGTACCTCAAGGTGCTAAAGCACAGTTAATTTTAGAACTCCCATGAAAATCATGTTCTTCAACCTACAAAATAAGCGAATTTAAAGCTTAAAATCTAGGACTTTCCATATCAAAAAACTAACAATTGAACAATTTGTTTACAATAACAGATTAAAATATGATCTACAGACTGTTTACAGACTCCCCTGTCCCCTACCCACAAGAGGATCTACCACTTTCTTCTAATTTTAGGCTCACAGGGTGGAAACTTTCACTACCTATTTTATTCTTAAATACCTCCTCCTCTCCTAGCATTAGTTCATAAGCAAAAGCTGTAAAAGTCAGTTTCAAATTTTATTTTATTCACTTAAAAGGTGGACAAAAATGTTTATTTCAAATCTAATTGAAATTCATCTGAAACAAGTAACTTATTTCAAGTAACTTATTGTACAGTCCATTGTCCATTTAAAAATATTCTTTCTTCCAAAAAAAACTGCACTGAAAGACAAAAAAAAAATTATTTTATAGTGCATAAAAGCGAGATGCAAACTTCTGATGTGAATTTGTTTCAATGTCAACTCCGATGATAAAGATGAGAGGCACAAGGGTTCACAGTTCAGTTAAATGATGCAAACAAAAAGCTCTGGTTTCCTCTGATACAAATTAGAAGCCTCCATTCATACCTCTTACAGTAGTACCACATACTTGATGTTGATACTAGGTTACTTCTTTTTCTTTCCTTTCCCTTTTTTACTTCCCTCTCCTTGTTGAAGACTTGGGTCACCACCTCCTGTTTTTTGTGTCCTTGTTTTTAGTTTAGGTATCATTTCTGCTGCATACAACATTACTGACTTACCTAGGAACCAGAAGTTAGGCTTAGTGTATAATCTGAGAAATAATACATAAAAAGTCATTAACTTGAATATCACAAAGAAACTATCACATCAAGAAAATGGAAAAATTAAAAATCAAATGATGGTGAAGACACTCACTGGCTCAAGTGTGGGGAAATTTACTGAGAGTGAGAATAATGCTGAAAATATTTAAATGAATAAAATCAAAAGGCAAAACACTAAGTGTGAAACAAAAATTCTGGTCTTGGTCCTAGTAATTAGCTTAAAGATCTAAGGAGTATATATCTAAATATATCTCAGATAGGAAAGAGAGTCAGAATATCATTGTATCTTAAGACACTGAAACACAGCGTTTTCTGAGTCTTACAACAAAAAACAGTATCAAGTTACAAGAGATCTGATAGGTAAGATCAGATGATCTACCCTTACAGGCATCCCTGCTCTGCATACCCACAACCAGCTACCTTCACCCCAAGAGACCAAGCTCCTCAGCTCTGCTTTCTTTTTACTATCTTACTCACTTGGATCTTAGTGGAAATAGGAAGTGACATTTTTTCACTACAATTTCTATCCCTATTTTATTTACTAGTTAATTAAAAATTTTTGTTTGTTTTTGGTCTTTTGAGATATAGTATAGGAAAATGTTGAAGAGGAAAAAAAAATATCAGAATATACTATCTGTCACTCCTTAATCACAACCTGAAGCACCTAGCAATACCTACCAATCCTGACGGGTTTTTGTATACAAAAAACAATCTACTTTAGGCTAAGCCCAGTGCCTCATGTCTGTAATCTCAGAACTTTGGGAGGCTGAGGCAGGAGGATCACTTGTATCCAGGAATTCGAGACTGGCCTAGGAAACATAGCAAAACCCCATCTCTAGAAAAAAATGAAAAATTAGGCAGGTGTGGTGGCATGCACCTGTATTCCCAGCTACTTGGGAAGCTGAGGTGGGAGTGTTGCTTGTTGCTTGAGTCCAGGAGGTCAAGACTGCAATGTGCCATAATTGTACCACTGCACTCAACCTGGATGACAGAGTAAGACACTGTCTTTTAAAAAAAAAAAAAAAGTTTAAATATGCTGGCTGGGCATGGTGGCTCATGCCTGTGATCTCGGCATTTTGGGATCTCCCCAAAGTGGGAGATTGCTTGAGGCCAGGAGTTTGAGACTAGCCTGGGCAACACAGTGAGACCCTTGTCTATTTAAAAAAAAAAAAAAAAAATCAAACAAAGTTGTCAGTTTGACAATTTCATTGTTTTTAAGTAAATTTAATGGAAGAGTTTAATTAAACTGAGGGGGGTTATTAAACTGAAACAAAAAAATGAATAGCTCTGTTTTAAAAAATTAAAATTTTCAGAGATAAAAATTCAGAAAAATAAATAACATGAAAACAAAGACTTCTTAATACTCAGAACCAACATTCTGTTATATTGATTTCTAGTTTTGTCTTGTTATTGTTTTTCATGAAATGAAACATTAGAGATGATGAAATAATCTTCTATGGTCATCAATCCCTGTGTCTCTACTTTCTATTTCACTGGCCATTAAGTGACTACTGTCTTAAGAGTTGGTGTTTCCTTATAGATCATTTCAAAAAAAGAACCGAAAAGCAACATTATATATGCATCTATCAATAAATAGTACTATTTTGTATTTAAATTTACATAAGTGGTTCCACACTATGCATATCTCTTGCTTTTTTCAGTCAATATTGCTTTTTAGATTTATTAATAGAATAATTAGATATTAAACCTCTAGGATCTGAAATAGCATTTAACATCCCATGATTTAATAATTTTATATTCTTAATCTGGGAGCAATGACAGACTCCTAAAGGTTTATAAATATTCACACAATTTTTTTGAAAAATGTTTAGTAGGTCTCATTACATTTTCAAAGAGGTCTTTCACCTCAAAGAAATTAGAACTACTGCTTACCTCTCTCCATGAGAAGTAGTCCTGTCTTTTAAATTATTCTTTAGAAAGCAAATTCTGATTTTCACCTTTCAGTTTTAGAAATTTGTGTTGTGTAGGAGAAACCTATCCCTGAATCCTCCTGATTCACTTAAAAAAGCTTACGTGATGGAAACTGTACAAGGCAGAGGCTGCCATCTTCCTGTTTGAGCTGGACCCGGACTCTGCCTCTGTATTGGACATCACGATTCCATTCTCTAGAGTACATTTTATTTTTCTAACATAAAACAAAAGAAAAACAGGGCTTAAGCAAGTTATTACATCAATTAGATGAGTATGGAAAATAATAAAGAACCATGTCATACCTCAAGAAATACGTTAAGTCCAACTGCTGAACATACATCTTGAATCTCTGTAGCTGTAGGATTTTCAACAGCCTGAACAGTTAAAAACATATACACTAAATATATTTGCTTTAAGTGAACACTGCCATAAAGGGTTGGGTAAATAATTTCAAATACTATAATCAAACAAGTACCAAAACTCTAGGTGTCCTTTTTCCCTAGGTACAGATGCTTCCACTGCAATTTTAAAAATTCCTAGGAATAACACTAATACATGCCTGTGTGTCCATCCCCCCTCCAACAGAACATAATCTTCTAAGGGCAAGGACTTTGTTTTGTTAACCAGTGTATTCCCCTGTACCTAGCATGGTACTTTGAACATAGTAGGTGGTCACCGATTATTCACTGCTTAAACAATTACACATATAAACACTTTAGAAAACCGTCCGCTAGTATCTACTAAAGCTGAATATATGCATTCCTTATGGCCCGGCAATTCCATTCCCAGATGTGTTCTACAAAAAAGCAAAAATACGTTCACTAAAAGACAACTATTTATAATAGCTTCAAACTATTAATAGAAATAATCCAATTTTTCATCCCGAATAGAAAGGGCCAGGTGTGGTGGCTCACACCTATAATCCCAGCACTTTGGGAGCCAAGTCAGGAAGACTGCTCAGCTCAGGAGTCTGAGACCACCCTGGGCAACATGGAAAAAAAAAAGAAAAAAATAGCCACATGGTGGCATGTGCCTGTAGTCCCAGCTACTCAGAAGGCTGAGGTTGGAGGATGGCTTGAGTCTGGGAGGTAGAGGCTTCAGTGAGCTGAGACTATACTGGTGCACTCCGGCCTCGGTGACAGAGCCAGATCTGTCTCTTAAAAAGAAAAAGGAGGTAGAAAAGACTTTGGTGTATGCACACAATGCAATACTAGAGCAAACAGGGCAGTAGTTTCCAACAGGGAAATTCTGTCCTCAGCCTCCCTACCCCTGCCCACACGCAAAAGACACCTGGCAATGCCTGAAGACATTGCTGATGGTCACAACTAGGGGATGGGAGGGTGGAGGGGGACAATCTGTCATCTAGTGGGTAGAGGCCAGGGATATTGCTGAACATCTTAAAATACACATAACAACCCCCCTAAAACAATTATCTGGCTCAAACTGGCAATGGTGCTATTGACAAACCCTGTCACGGAGCAATAAAAATTCAACTATATTCAAATATGTGGATAAATCTCATAAGCTTAAAGTTCAGTGAAAAAAAGATACAAAAGTACATAGTGTGTAATTCCATTTATAGAAAATTCAAAAATAGCAAAAGTAATCTATGGTGTTGAAGTCATGACAGTGGCTATCCTGGTATTTTTGAGCATATGCGTAGGCGACAGTGATTGGTAGGGAACATAAAGGAATCTTCCTGGATGCTTGCAATGTTTTCTTTTTTGAGTGCTTGTTATCACTCAGATGTACTCATCATGTGAGAATTCATTGCATCAAACCTAGGTGCCTTAAATCTGTCATATTACAAAATACAAATGACTCTTTAATAAAACACATCAGGGCTGAACTTTTTGCAAGTCTTTCTCACATATTTAAAAAAATCTCAACTACATGCTGAACATTATTAATGTATCGTACAATGTCATAATTTTGATTTTCTGTACCAAGGGGAACATTGTCATAAACTTTTTTTTAAAAAAAACGTGAATTGGGAGGCCAAGGTGGGCAGATCACAACGTCAGGAGATCGAGACCATGGTGGCCAACATGGTGAAACTCGTCTCCACTAAAATACAAAAAATTAGCCAGGCATGGTGGTGCACGCCTATAGTCCCAGCTACTCGGGAGGCTGAGGCAGGGGAACTGCCTGAACCAGGAAGCCGAAGATTGCAGTGAGCAGAGATCATGCCACTACACTCTAGCCTCGTGACAGAGCAAGACTCTGTCTATTCAAACAAAATACAAAACAAAACAAAACAAAATCATGTAAACTCTACAGACTCTCTATATACTTATTTACAAGCATAGGCTCATTAGGAGCCATTAAAAAAAAATCCCCTCAGCTATAAATTAATGCCTTTCTGGTTTCACCAAGGAATGCAGCCCAATTCTTGGTTTTTCTCCTCAAGCCCTAAATAAATGCAGTGAAGAGAAGCCCCTGAGGCTCTAACAAGATGACATCCCCCATTTCCTTGAGGACCAAGGTGCCAGCCACCTGCTTACCTTACTTATGGGGATTCGCCTTCCCTCTGCAATGGTCTTCTTATTATTTAAATAAGCAGGATAGATACAAATAAACCTGCCATAGACAAGAGCACAACTGGTATCACTAGAGCAGTATGAGGCAGGAGAACAGGGCCGGGAGGCAGAGAACCGAAGGCCAATTCATGCTGACTAGATATCAGATGGCTACTCTCTTTTCAACCGTCTTTTTTCTGAATGGCAGTTAAAAAATCGGAGTACCTCGGGTCCCCTCCAGCAACCAATCAGACGGGTCGGCCTACTCTTCATTCTGACTGATCCCCTCCCGCAACCAATTAGACTGGCACTGGCCAATGGGAAACCTCCAGAGAGTATTTAAACCCCCCAAAATTTCGTAACCTGCAAATATTCCATAACCAACAGCTGTTGGATAGCTTGCTGGAGCCAGCTCCCACTCTGTGGAGTGTACTTTTGTTTAAAATAAATCTGCTTTCACTGCCTTGTGTGTTCTGCTCAATTCTTTATTCAAAACGCCAAGAACATGGACAACTACGCTCAACGAATAACAAGTATTTTCAAAAATATACTCATTGGCCAAGCACGGTGGCTCACGCCTGTAATCCCAGCACTTTGGGAGGCTGAGGCGGGCGGATCACAAGGTCAGGAGATGGAGAACATCCTAGCCAAGATGGTGAAACCTCGTCTCTACGAAAAATATAAAAATTAGCTGGGCCTGGTGGTGCGTGCCTGTAATCCCAGCTACTCAGGAAGCTGAGGCAGGAGAATCGCTTGAACCCGGGAGTCGGATGTTGCAGTGAGCACATCCGACTAGATGTGCACCGCTGCACTCCAGCCTGGCGACATAGCGAAACTGTGTCTCAATAATAATAATAATAATAATATTTATTGTTTCAGTCCATGATAGTCCTTGTCATCATTGCTGGTACACCTATGCTATTATTTGCTTAATGCTTTTTCGTTGAATTACCTTTCTTTTTCTTACCTTACTTAAACTTTATCCACTACGTTAGATGGAAAAGAACAACACGAACAGAAACAAAACTTGTTAACTGTTACACTGGACAGAGAAGTCTGTCAAAAATTCCTGAGAATGGGGCCAGCCCTCTTATTTAAAAAATAGTGTCCAAGGTATTAAAACCTTAAAAATTCACAAACGAGACTTTCAGAGCTCAACAATAAGATACATCATGTCCACGTAGCACCCAAAATACTTGTGTCGCATAAAGGTAAACACCAGGTTACCTACGGTCGGAATTTCAGAAGCCCTGCCAAGAGCCTGGTGGCTGTTGCAGGATTCTCGGAAAAACGAGCCGCCTGGGAGAGGCGCGGAGCCCGTCCATGCCAAGCTGGATCGGCTAGGCCATTCACGATGCCGCGAGGCGGAGAAGGGAAGCGCAGCACCCGCGGCATCACAGCAAGCCCATTCCTTTCTCAGGACCCACCTCCCCAGGACTCACCTGTCCTGGTCCGCCGGGGAGCGCGCAGCAGCACAAGCCATCTTCACAAAACTCTGAACAGCGACAACCCAGGACAGCTCTGAGTTTCCCAGAGAGTGCGATATTCCGCCGGAAGTCCTGCCCACCAAATGGTTCCGCGTCCGCGAGTTCTCACCTCCTGTTTGTTGCGGCACCTGTCGCTCGGCAGCGGGATCGCTAGTCTACGACGTGGCGTGACTACTTCCCCTCTCGCGAGAGGATCAAGGAAGCTTCTCACCCCTTTCCCAAATCTCGGTGGGTAGCGCATGTCGGACGCATACATGGCCACTAAAAACGGGTTAACTTCGACCCTTCCTCATTTCCACTTTCTCAGCGAGTATGGGTGGTACTAGCTGTTTAGGGGCGAGACTGTGCACCGAGGAGTTTCTGTGTGGTTCAGGGTGCAAATATACATACAGCAAGCAAGGAAATGCTCCTTATGTTTCATTTGTAGCTGTTCCTGGGCCCTAGAGTTTGCTTTCAATTTGGCAAAATGGATTTTTATAGTGGTAGAACTAGCGAAGCTAAAGACATTTATGTATGTATTAAGTTAAAGACAGTATGCTGTGTAAGTGTTAGAAACTTAACTATTCACCTTTTAGGCTGGGCACCGTGGCTCACGCCTGTAATCCCAGCATTTTGGGAGGCCAAGGCAGGCACATCACGAGGTCAGGAGTTGAGACCAGCCTGGCAAACATAGTAAAACCCCATCTCTACTAAAAATACTAAAATTAGCCGGGCGTGGTGACTCACGCCTGTAATCCCAGCACTTTGGGAGGCCGAGGCAGGCGGATCACCTGAGGACAGGAGTTCAAGACAAGCCTGGCCAACATGGCAAATCCCTGTCTCTACTAAAAAACGCAAAAATTAGCTGGGCGTGGTGGGATGCGCCTGTTTCCCTGTTACTCAGGAGGCTGAGGCAGGAAAATCGCTTGAACCTGGGAGGTGGAGGTTGCGGTGAGCCAAGATCCTACCACTGCACTTCAGCCTGGGCAACAGAGTGGGACTCAGTGTCAAACAAACAACGACAAAAAAAACCATCTGAAGAATACCATGTGCCATTACTACAGGCAAACTTGATTATTGCCCTTTGCTTTGTTGCTCTGAGCAGATAGTGCCTTTTTACAAATGGAAGGGTTTTTGCAAATCGGCTTGGAGGAAGTCTCTTGGCGCCATTTTTCCAGCAGTATATGCTTTGTGTCATATTTTGGTAATTCTTGCAATATTTCAAACCTTTTCATTATTTCTGTTATGGTGATCTGTAATCAGTGATGTTTGCTGTTACTATTGTAGTAGTTTTGGGGTGCCATGAACCGTGCCCAGATAAGATGGGGAACTTATTGGATAAATGTTGCATATGTTTTGACTGTTCGACCAACTGGCCATTTCCCATCTCTCCCTCTCCTGGAGCCTCTATTCCCCAAGACACAACAGTGTTGAAATGAGGCCAATTAATAACCCTACAATGGCCTCTAAATGTTCAAGTGAAAGGAAAGTCACATGTCTCACTTTCTTTTTTTTTTTTTTTGAGACGGAGTTTCGCTCTTGTTACCCAGGCTGGAGTGCAATGGCGCTATCTCGGCTCACCGCAACCTCCGCTTCCTGGGCTCAGGCAATTCTCCTGCCTCAGCCTCCTGAGTAGCTGGGATTACAGGCACGCGCCACCATGCCCAGCTGATTTTTTGTATTTTTAGTAGAGACGGGGTTTCACCATGTTGACCAGGATGGTCTCGATCTCTTGACCTCGTGATCCACCCGCCTCGGCCTCCCAAAGTGCTGGGATTACAGGCGTGAGCCACCGCGCCCGGCCACATGTCTCACTTTCAGTCAAAAGCTGGAAATGATTAAGCTTAGTGCGGAAAGCATGTGTTAGCCATGATAGGCTGAAAGCTAGGTCTCTTGGCATCTTAACAGTTAGCCAAGTTGTAAATACAAAGACAAAATTCTTGAAGGAAATTAAAAGGAACTTACTTCAATAAACACACAAATGATCAGAAAGCAAAACAACCTTATTGCTGATACAGAGAAAGTTTTAGGGGTTTAGATAGAAGATTAAACCAGCCACAACATTCCTTTAACCCAAAGCCTAATCCAGAGCAAGGCCCTAACTCCCTTCAATTCTGTGAAGGCTGAAGAAAGATGAGGAAGCTGCAGAAGAAGTGGGATGCTAGCAGAGAGGGGTTCAGGAGGTTTAAGAAAGAAGCCATCTCCATAACATAAAGTGTAAGGTGAAGCAGCAAGTGCTGATAGAGAAGCTGCAGCAAGTTATCCAGAAAATGTAGCTAATACCACTGATGATGATCAATGATTAGCTAATATCATTTAGTGGTTACACTAAACAATGGATTTTTCAATGTAGACAAAACAGTCCTCTACTGGAAAAAGATGCCATCTAGGACTTTGATAGAACTCCTTTGAGAGAAGAAGTCAATGCCTGGCTTCAAAGCTTCTGAGGACAGTCTGTCTGATTGTCTTGTGGAATAATGCATGAGTGACTTTAAGTTGAAGCCAATGGACATTTACCATGCCGAAAATCCTAGAGCCCCTAAGAATGATGCTAAATCTATTCTGCCTGTGTTCTCTAAATGGAACAACAAATCCTGGATGACAGCACATCTGTTTACAGCATGCTTTACTGAATTTTTTTTTTTTTTTGAGACAGGGTCTCACTCTGTCACCCAGGCTGGCATGCAGTCTGACCTTGCACACTCAAGCAATCCTCCCACACAAGCCTCCAGAGTATCTGGGACCATGGGCATGGGCAACTGCCTGGCCGATTGTTTTTTTTATTTTTAGTGGAGACAAGGTTTTGCTGTGCTGCCCAGGCTGGTCTTGAACTCCTGGGCTTAAGCCATCCTCTTGCCTCGACCTCCCAAAGTCCTGGAATTATGGGTGTGAGCCACTGCACCCAGCCTTTACTGAGTATTTTTAAGCCCAGTGTTGAGACCAATTGCTCAGAAAAAAAAGAGAGATTCCTTTCAAAATATTACTGCTCATTGACAATGCACCTAGATATCTAAGGTTCTGAGGGAGATGTACAAGGAGATTAATGTTTTCGGGCCTGATAACACATCATCTATTCTGCAGTTTATAGATCAAATAGTAATTTTTACTTTCACCTCTTATTAAGAAATACAGTTTGTAAGACTATAGCTGCCATATAGTGATTCCTCTGATGGATCTGGGTAAGGTAAATTGAAAATCTTCTGAAAAGGATTCACTATTCTAGATGCTATTAAGAGCTTCTGTGATTCATTGGAGGTTAAAATATCAACATGAATGGGATTTGGAAGTTGATTTCAACTCTGGGATGATTTTGAGGACTTCACATTAGTGGAGGCAGTAACTGCAGATGTGGTAGAAATAGCAAGAAAACTAACATTAGAAGTAGAAACTGAAGATGGGACTGAATTGCTACAATTATGACAAAGCTTGAATGATGAGGAGTTGCTTCTTATGAATGAGCAAAGAAAGTGGTTTCTTGAGATGGAAACAATTCCTGGTGAATATGCTGTGAACATTGTTGAAATAACATCAATGGGTTTAGAATGGCATAAATATAGTTGAAAGGGCAGTGGCAGGGTTTGAGAGAACTGACTTCAGTTTTGAAAGAAGTTTTACTATGGGTAAAATGCTACCAAACAGCATCACGTGCTACAGAGAAATCTTTTGTGAAAGGAAAAGTCAGTGGATGTGGCAAAATTCACTGTTGTCTCATTTTACAGAGAAATCTTTTGTGAAAGGAGGAGTCAGTGGATGTGGCAAAATTCACTATTGTCTCATTTTAGGAAATTTCCACAACCACTCCAACTTCAGCAACCATCATCCTGATTAGTCAGCAGACATCAACACTGAGGCAAGACCTCCACCAGAAAAAAGATTATGATTTTCTGAAGGCCCAGATGGTTGTTAGCATTTTTAGCAATAATGTATTTTTTTTAATTTTAATTTTAATTTATTTATTTATTTATTTTTAGGATGAAGTCTGGCACCGTTGCCCTGGCTGGAGTGCAGTGGTGCAATCTCAGCTCAGTGCAACCTCTGACTCCTGGGTTCAAGCAATTCTCCTGCCTTAGCCTCCCAAGTAGCTGGGTTTACACGTGGGTACCACCATGACCAGCTAATATTTTGTATTTTTAGTAGAGACAGGGTTTCACTATGTTGGCCAGACTGGTTTTACCTTGTGATCTACCTGCCTTGGCCTCTCAAAGTGCTGGGATTACAGGCATGAGCCACTGTGCCCGGCCATTAAAATATTTTAAATAAAGTATATATATTATTTTTCTGGACATAATGCTACTGCACACTTAACAGACTACAATATAATATAAACATAACTTTTATATGCACTGGGAAATAAAAAAAAATGTGTGACTTGCTTTACTAGGATATTTCCTTTATTATGGTGGTCTGGAACCAAACTTACAATATCTCTGAGGTATGCCTATATATTTTTGCATAACTTAGACTGATTGCAAAGTAGTATTTCAGCATCTCCATTCAATTAAACCCAACTTCATTTCTATTTTAATAATGGATGTTTATTCCATACCTACAAAAAGACATGCTTCAAAAAGTGAAGCAAGGTGACATAGGTTTTCTCTTTTACAGATAAAAAAGCAGTCAAACTGAAAAACCAAACTCAACCAACAAAAATATTCATGAAAGTTTGAGTCTCAGTGAGGTTAAATAATTTGCCCATTCATGCTAATAATGGCTGAGCATAGATGCTCAGCTAGTCTGACTGGAAGCCCCTGACTTTTCTTCATGTTCTCACTTGTGCCTCTCAATCTTCCTTGAAGGTTTTTTTTTTTTTAGCACCAAATTAAGTTTGGTCCTGATGTAAATAAATAATGCTTACTTCTTTCTGAAGTGTATACAATTCCTGTAAAGACAGCGTCATTTAATGACCTAAAATTTAGCTGTACATTTGGAGATGAAATGAATCCAAACTTTAAAATACATA